TACTGGGTCTTGGCAGGCTGACAAGAGGTTGAGACACTCAAGCGTGCCTGGGGGGATGGCTACGAGACCCGTGAGAAAACCCGTGTGTGAACCTCGTGGTCAAATACTCCACCAAATGCCTGCTTGGATGAGGTCTCAAATAAAAAACCAGGTTGTCGATATTAATGTCGGTTAGTGATTTGTTAGGGGACAACCTGGCCGGGCACATGGTCTTTGTGTGGGCCCTGAAGCAGAGAGAGCAGATGTGCAACAACCTACAGGCGCTGAAGCTGCAGGACCCGGCTTTAAAATTGTTACACACCTGCGCTTTGCCTAGGAAGGAGATGGGTCTACCCAGTTTATCCCGTTGACCACCCGCTTGTTTAATGTGAGGGGTGAAAGTGGTTTGAGGGGTGGGAGTGGAGGTGGATGGATCAGCTTCAGAGGGCCACAAATCAGCCGTACGGGATGTGGAATTACATACGGCACAAGACAGGGGCCTCAGACCAGCAAAGTGACGACAGATTAATTCTGTATACATCTGACATGTTAAACTGCTTCAGATGGGTCGCCGCCTTCGCTGATACTGATTTATGATGCCCAAATCCACCACTTTATGCAGATAGAGGTCTAGTTCCGCTCTTCTGTGGGGATATACCGAGCAAATGAAGTCGCTGTATATCTCGAAGGCTATTACAAGCGCTTTAGGTGTGTGGAGTGGTCCTTTAATGAAAAGAGAAAGGACAAAGAGCAACAAATCTTGTTTTTTTTTTTTCTCCAAGAGTAGGCTCATACTAGGTAACAGGTAATGAGCTAATGGACAATTATCAAGGTAATTTCCAATAACATTTCCCCATAAAAATATGAAGTTAAAAATTATGACATCTGCAGAGTCATGTAAAATTTAGATAGTAGCGAAAAATAATACACTAACTGGAAGCCACTTGAACTGGAACTTAGGAGAAAACTAACATTTGCATCTGCTTCAGATAAACTGATTCACAGTTTGACTAATAATTGAAAGTCATGGTAATTAACAGAGAAATACAATTTTTTATTAAAATTTAATTTTTTTTTTTTTTTAAATTACATGCATTATAACCTCTATGAGTACCATGTGGTTTTGCATACATATAACTCATTCCAAAGTATCTCTTAGCCTTGTTCTATAGGTGTGGCCATCCTCTTTAGTCGAAAGCACATCTTATCCAGACAAAAATCAAACAATCAAGAAAGCTTATGTTCTAAGATTTCTCTTCAAATCATATACAAATGCCGGAACCTCACCTATGGGGTGGTTTCAAGCCCTTGAATTGTAAATGGTGCAATTGTCTTAACATGGTAAAAATCAAACCTAGGAGGTGCACAAAAAACAGGGCTAGATTTACATCACAAGCACCATTAGGCACGGAACTCTCCAATGCCCAAAAAAAAAAAGCCAACAGAAAAAAAATAAAATAAAAAATCCATACCTCTGTCTATTCCGTTATTCTTTTAAAAAATTAACTCAGCAATTTTAAAGTTTATTTGGAAGCCAAGCAGAATCAAACTACTTTGCAACATAATAAATCCAATGGGGTTATTGGCGTACCGGATATTCGTAAATATTTAAATATTATTTCGCTACCTATGCCACAGTTGCAGTTAGTTTTAATAATATTAATAAACCGAGATGGCTAGACATGGAAGAGGTTAAGGCTTTTCCATTTATACTTAAAGAGGCTCTTTGGGTAGGCCCGACAAAGAGACCTAGAACTACGGAGATATTTTTTTTTTCATCCAAAACAAAGTTTAAAGCTTGGATCTTATTTTTAGAACTAAAAATCAAGTCAGAGGTTTATATAGAGCAATGCCACTGACATTGTTGAAGGAATATGTGCCATCTTTAGACATAGATTTCTTTCCCTTATTCCATAGCTTATTTAATAATTTTTTTCAAGGCAATGCCATACTGTCTTTTGATAAATTAAAATTCAAGTATGGTTTACCAGACAAATCTAAATTTAAGTGTTCAGTGATTGTAAACAAGCTAAAAGAGTTCTTCAACATTCCAGAAACAGATAAAACTATAAGACACTCGAAATTTCAGCTCTAGAAAAGATTTTCCTGCATGAGCCAGGAAGAAAAGGCCTAATTTCTCTATGTTATGTTTAGAACATTAAACCTTAAGACAAACTGAGACATATGTTGTTGTGGTAGATGGAATTGGATACACAATACAGTTTGAAAGAATTTTTTTTTACTGCTCTTAAGAGCATTTCACACTGTACAGACCATTTTGAAAACCATTATAAGATTTTATACGGTTGGTACCTGGCTCCGTCTAGACTACACAACACGAATAATGCGTACTCAGGCCGGTGTTGGAGGGATTGTCGAGGTACAGGAAACATGGTGCACGTATGGTGGTTTTGTCCAAAATTAGCCAGATATTGGAAGATGATTCATGATTTGATAATTAAAATGGACAAAGATATAAGTATGTTGACATCAGAACTAGCACTTTTTAAGAAATTCCCAGAGTCTGTTGTGAAAATTGACAAAATAATAGGCCACATCCTAAATCGCAACTACTTCATGTCTACCTCAATACTGGAAGTTTAAAAATGTACCTACACGTAAATAAATTTTGACCATGGTTTTAGATAGTAAAGCAAACTAGTTGTCTTATAGAAATAATACTCATTTATATGCAAACCTTCCACATATTTGGGATAAATGGCAAGAACATATTATAATAAAAAATAAATTAGAAAAAAAATAAAAGAAAACTTACTGCTTATAGAATATTTTGTTAAGTTCAAAGATGTATAACTAATCTTTTGTACAATATTCCATATGTTTATTGCTATGGATGGATCCCCTTTCCTATTTCCAAGTTTCCCTTCCCCGAATAGTATGTTTAACTATTCGTTATTATTTGTTGTGAAATACATTATAACCTTAATAAAAATTATTAGAAAATAAAAATAAATAACTAAACACTGGAGGCAGGTACTTACTCTGACTAATGGGAAGTCCTGCCCTGCTTATAAAGAGCAATTAGCCTGTATTACCTATTACCCATTGTTTTAACTATAACATACACAACATAAGTAAATTACATATAAATGTTTTACATATCTTCTTTTCAGTAATAAAAAAAAATAAATAAAAAAAAATAGAACCCATATCTACTGGCACTGAATCATAAATATATGCGAAAGGGAGATTGAAATGCTTCAGGTAACATTTCCAGTTGTTGAAGAAACTATACAGGGTTCTTTATAGATGTGCAGCAGGCACAAGTTAAGTAACTGTCAACATACCAGTACCAAAACATCTTTAGTTTAATGTTGCAGTTTTGGTGTATATACATAAAGTCCCAAGGAATTAACCATTAGATGACAGTGCATTTGCTGGAGACTATTGGAAGGAGTCACTCGGTGTAGCAGAGGAACGTCTCAACAGTGGTGCAAATAGGTAAATGCTTTTAACTGAATGATTGTGAGTGCATTTTGGTTTTATATCCTTTTTCATGCAATAAATGGTAATGCCACATGAAGCGAAGGAGTCAAAATAAGGTTCCAGCTAAAGGCCTTCAACTGGTCTGTATAGAGCACAAACAAACGGTTTGCAGCAAAACAACTTTGGCTTAAAGGACCACACTACACACATAAAGCACTTTGTGGCTGTATAAACAAAATCATTTACACTTAAATGGCAGAATGAAGAAGTGACATGGCAGGGCATGACCTATACACTGAAACTACTTAATTGGGCTAAAGCTGTTACACTTTTTCCCCAAATATTAAGCCACACGTCTCCAGCTATAAGCAATGATAGAAAGAAAATCCTCTCGATAACACAATGGGACTTGAAAAAGTAAAAGGATATATTTGTAATGCATCTAGTGCCTGTCCAATACACGAAATAAGTTTGACCGTTAGCGATTTCCCCTCCACTGTAACTTCCATCCTTCCACCCTGTAGATTGGAACATTAAGCTGTAGTTGTCTGGTGACAATAGTGTCCATTTAAAGATGTAGATGACTGAAGGATATTTGGTGTCAGACAGGCACTTTTATTAAAACACAGTGGATAATGGCCATTTAATGTCCACTAAATCGTGGTATTTTTGCGTTTTGACAATTATTACTTATCAGACATGGCATTATATATGAATTGTTTAAATTATTACGATTGGACATAATTCAGTATGTACATGGCTGTGATGTATCATACTTATCATAATGCTCTATATAGTTCCTTCTACATCTTTTGTAGCATTTTACTCCGTGAAAATCAATAAACAAACCAAAAACATTAAAAAGTGTAACTATAAAGATCACGAAAATAAATAAGCAATGTGGGCATCAAACTTTATTGTATCTACCTACAATTGTAGAAAATGATCAGCAGTGTAATTTATTCTGATTTAATCTTTTTTAATAAAGTTTGTATTGTCAACTTTTGTTCAGACTTCACATTTTTTCTGAGCTTGCAATAAATGGATTCCTCCTTTTTAAAAACACATTTTTTCACTTTCACTGATAAGACGATTATGTATGCTCTACAAACTTTGAATTGTACACCAACTAACAGAATACAGTTCATTTATATGTAGAGAGAGGAAAAAACACCCTCTCAACTCCTTCCTTTTTGTATTCACTTGTCTAGAATATTCAAATATTATACTTTATATTCAATTCTCATTTTATATAATGTAACGAAAATGAAATTATAAAAAATAGTCTTCTGTACAGCTTTGTGGATAAAAAAACCCCCCACATATTTAAACTAGAAAAGTTCTGATTTACACCTTACAAAAAAGTAACTTTTTTGAACCTTCAATAGAAATGATTCAAAATAGTTTAAATATATCTCAACTCGTATCATACGTATTTCTATGCTCTAAACAAAACAGAAATGTTGTGTTACTTGTAATCTATTTAGGACAATAAAAGAAAACAAAAATCTTAAATCAAAACATGCATTATTTTTAGAGCAGTGTTTAAATTGATATTCATTTTGTCTGCTTTCTTAAAAAGGAGAACCAAAGTGGGAAGAACTGGGGTTTCCTGGAGGTGGCGGAGGAGGAGGGGGAGGAGGAGGAGGCGGAGGAGGGCCAAATCCAAATGATGCATTCTGCATATAATGTGCATGTGCGTTTGGATCAGGCCAAGCAAAGTTTGAGGGTGGTGGTGGATAAAAGTTGTGTGGATTTACATAGTGAGATCCATATGAACTTCGGGGACCAAAATTGTCATTTGGTAAAGGATAATGAAATTCTTGAGATCCTGAATTGTGGAAACCATAAGGCTGCTGCATTAACGGATGTCCTGAGAAATATGGTCCGTGTTGCTGCACAAATGTATTTTCATATGGACGAGAAGCACTGTCACGTGAAAAGCTTGGTTTAGATTCACTTCTTGAAAAGGATGCTGAAGAGTTTGTTGGTCTGCTCTTTTCTTGAGAATTATTTGCTTTAAGAAAGAAGGAAAAAATTTAATTATTAGCGGCAATTGCAATGTTAATGTGCATTAGTGCCATTTTTTTTTACCTTACTTAATACCCCTAAATACATTGAATACATCACTATACAATTCAAACATATATGATATACTGAATATAAAATTTGGAGATCTCAGTCAGTTCCAGCACCACCATTTCCTTGTCTTTATGAGTGTTACTCTTCATGTAACACCCGGTCCAACTGCTCCATTATTTTATTTGCCCAGCGTGGGAACAGTTCCCCAAGCAGAAGCAGCTTACTGTTTGATGCTTAAATTGTTGTTTTTCTTTGTAATGTCAGTCACTGCTACTATACTCCCTAACCAGTGCTAGCAGCGTTGGCTAGGTTTTTTTTTTTCCTTAGTAACTGCAGCACATGCACTGTGGTTGCTCTTCTATGGAGAGAAGGATCTCAATAGAAGAAATACCTATTAATTTACAGGATTTTCTTCCAAGCCATACAACTGCTGGCAAAACTAGATAGATGAAATCGTATGCCCTTCAAATTAAGCAAAAATTGTAAGAGGTTTGCAGGTACTCTAACTAATACAGGCTACAGAAAATATACCTGTCAAACAACACAAACTGGTCACATTTCAACTAGAATGGTTTTAATAAACAAAACAAAAAAAACAATCTATTGACACAAAAGAACATTATCTTAATGATGACTTATTGCCTCCTACTTCCTAAATCTGCTCTGTCAACCTTAAATCTTTGATTTGAAACACTCATAAAGACTGTTAGAATTTCACTGAAATTCCAGCACATTTGAAGATGTCAATAGACAACGTAAAGACTATCCTAGAGATGACAAAAGGTAGATCTACCACAGTCAAGCGAGCTTTAGTAGTTTTGGTGCTTGGAGTGAAAAAATGATTTGGTACGATCAATTAAATAGAAAGGAGGCACATTTCACAGGTAATATGACGTGCAAAGGAAAATAAAAAAGAAGAATTTAAATGAAGTGTCAATAAACCCCATAACAGAAGCCACTGTTTAAATTTACATTATAGATTGACTCCAGGGTGGATGTTTATTTCTGAACAATTATTTTACCTCGGGAACTACTGATAGCCACACGTGTAAATGAAAGACAGCTATCCAAACACATTTACTATAGTTAAATAGTACTGTGTGTAAAATACTATTAAAGAGGAATATGCTGAGAGCATTCTACATAAAGGTAGAATAAAGAGTTTGTAAAAATATTAAGAAATGGGAAGAGAAGAGATAATGAGGATCGAAGCAAGGGGATAAATAAAAAAGCTACAAGATATCTGTGCAAAAAAAGAATACATATAAAATAACAAAAATCATAAAAACAGCTTCAAAGAACAGCAACATTTTATTCACCATTGTGAAAACTTGCAACAATTCAGAGTACATTTGTCTGTCTTTATATTAAATTCTGATCATTTATGTGAAAGGAGACAAATTGTACTAATCATGAAGTGCAGTGCTTTCTACATGGAAAACAATTATGGGCCATAAATCTGTACATAAATAAAAATGTAATGGAATGTCAGCTGCAGAAATGCTTTTAAAATCAAATGTTTGACTACCACAATAATAAAAAGAGGATCAAACATAAAAAAGCAGTTCTGGTACAGTGAAGCAAATACCAGGAATATTTCGTTGGTTTCCATGGGGACTGCTCCCCTATAAGAAGTTTGTCCTTGTTTATTATACATAACATTCATTGTGTCTTATTTTGTTAATAAAATACTTTAGCAGCTTAGCAATACTTTACAGTTAAATTGCTTACGTGACAAAAAATAAAATAAAAAATATAACTTAAGTTGAAAAAAATATATAAATTTTGAGACTGTTCTATTTACAAAGTGATTCTGCATTGGAAACTTTTCTGTCCATGCTCATATGTCTATGCAGGGACATCAACAACAAGGACATGTATAATGTCACACACACAACCACAAAATGGTGTGGGAAAGGCTGGGGATCTGAACCAAATATGGATGGAACATTAAAAAAAACAAAAAACTGCATTTAAATAACCTATTTTTTCTAACTTGTTAAGATCACACCAATACCTACCATAACATACACAATTTACAAATCTAAGACACTTGCAAATTGGATACAATTTAAGTCACAGACACCAAGATACAAAACTGTTATTAGCGATTTTCTAGCTAAAATGATGACTACGGTTCCATTTTCACAAACTAAGCACAGGCATAGGCAAGCTAATGAACAAATATAATGAAGCCAGGGAGGACCATTTTCTCAAAAAAATTCTAGAAAGAGATGCAAGCTAAAGAAGCAGGATGTTGGTTTTCCTCCAATTGAAGTAAATCCAGGCTGCAGGATGCCACTGGAAACGCTTGTATACCGACCTGTTTCTTCAGTGAGACTTTGTTAAGGTAAAGCAGCCTTATAAACCCCACCAATGATGCCCATAATAGGTCACACGTGTTTCCTGTTAATCATCCAAAAAGATGGCCCATCGGGATCATTATCGATTAATAATCCTCATTTGAGTTAAGCGCCAAGAATACATTCCTGGCTGCTTCACTCACATTCCCTTCCAAGTGGCAATCTTTTACTTGGAAATAAAATCAATTAATTATAAAGGCATACCTTTATATGAACCACCAATATGATGGCTGCACAAAAATAGTGATACAGCTTCTGAACACATGCATATTAACCTTGCATAATAATTGCACAAATTAGGCCTTATGCATGATAAAAAGAGTGCACGAAAAAAAACTGCATGCTCACAGCCAGATACCCATCTACCTTTGTTCGTTCTCTGCTGCTGGTGTACATGTTTATGCATTACTTAGGTGCATTGAACCAGAGGTTAATAACAAGGTTGGAGTATCAGGTTCTGCCTATTGCTGACCTATCTAGAGGGATGATGGTTAATTTAACAGGTCGTCCTTAGTCGTAATAAACGGCCCAGGTGGCACTCAAAAAACATTGTTCTCCCCATACAGTCTATAAAGTATAATGCAGAGTGTAACGGATCGACGGGCACCTCTGTTGAAGGATGCCACTAGCGCCTCCTGAGGACTCCAAGCACTGCAGCAGACACCATAACCACCGTAGACTCCTCCAGAGAGCAAGGCAGGAACAAGTTCTTACAAGAGCTTAGTAGTGATTTAGCAAGGGAGTATGACAAGCATAGCAATCCCTTGTAGCAGATTCCCCCAATAAGAGACGGCACTCCAAATTGAGGGTGAAGTAGAACTAGCTGTACTGGCACATACAGCCTCTTTTATTCACATTCTACAAACATAGTACTGACCACAGGGTTTTTAAGAATAACCAATCAACACATTACAACACAGCTAACACTCCCATTCATTACATCAGAAATCCTCCCCTCTGCCTGTGATACAATTATCTCAACACAACAGACTAACTTAATTATCACAGGCAGGAAAATACAGTATTCTAAAACATATCACAGGGACCCTAAAACATGCAATAACCCCATAAATATATCATCGGAACCGGGGGATCTGGGTGAACCACATATCCAAAATTCACCCAGATCTGTTCAGTAGTTTGGAAGATACGGTTTAATGCAGATTCCGCAGAACATATACAGGCTATATGAAAAATAATTAGTTAAATGTGTCCCCTGTTCTGTAGTTTAGAACTACTGAACGATGTCTTTGTGCACCAAATACCGTTGAGAAAAGTTCAAACAGTGTGAGTTAAAATGTCCGCCATCCATTGTTCTCACCATGTGCTTCATCCATTGTTCTCACCATGTGCCTCTGATACATGTAATGGTGGCCGTCCAGTAACTCCACAGTTTGTCTGGTAGTCTATCCAGCCGAACCAACAGATGAAACACATGGGGAACAGTGCAACAAACAAAGGGAATCATAAAAAATATGGACAATAGTCATATTTGTGCACAATCTCCAGTTTTGTCACAGGGCACAAATAGGGTTTTCAAATACCATATATCCCAGGGCCATAGTCAGAAGGTAGGAGGCAGGCAAGCAGCCCCCCTCCAAGAACACGTGGCGAGGTCTGTTCCACCACACAGAGGAAACCAATACTTAGATTATAAATATTACCAAAGTCCCTGCACAAGTGTACTGTGTCAAGGAGTACCTTTATAAGCCCAATATCCAAGTTACAGATTCGGTTAATGCCCAATGTCAATTTGCAGATTCTTTATCCAATTCTTATTGACATATTGAAAGACAGATAAAATTATCTAATTAATTTTAATACAAATAAATCTGCTGTAGAAAATGTTATTTGATAAACCTGCTTATATTCACAGTCTCAAATATAAATACAAATATTAATTTGGCATTCTTTTAGCACTTGTAACATTCTATACTAACAAACTGCATTTGAGTGTAACCAACACACAGACGTTTAACAAAATAGAACATAAATTGTGCTTGTAACTACCCTTCTTGATTCTAATTAGACAACGTTTAATTGGTATGTTGATGATTGACATAACTAATTTTTAAAGACATGCACACATTCTAAGCAAAAACTTACATGTCGGATTCTGTTCAAACTTCTGTTTCCTTTTTCCTGGATTCTGAGACTTTTTCTTCTGCTTGGCTTCTCTCTCCTTTTCATCATCACTGTAATCCAGTGCCTAATGAAACAAACAAACCAGTATATTAATAAGGAAAAACATTTTAACTTGCAGTTTCTTTTTCTACAATCTATTGGTAAGTTGTTGTTTTTTTCTAAATCTGCAGGTGGTAACTTTTCACAATAAGATTGGTTCCTCCTATTTATTTATAAATGAATTATTATAAATAAATAAAAATTAAAAACAAAACCATTTTTCACAGTTTTGGCAATAACATTTATATCAAAGTTTGTGGTACAGACCATAGTTTTTGCATTTTGGAACATACGTGTTGCATTTTTCCTGAGTAAATCTAGACAATATCCTGTGCAGTTACAGTGCAATATAAGAGACATGATTTTTTTTTTTTCCAACTTTAAGTGTGACTTTTCTTAGATGGACTTGAGTCTGTCTCATTTTGGGGCAGTTGGATAGTTTAGGCCTACTTTAAACAACTAAGAAACAAACTATCATATGATACAAGAGCTTATTGAAGATCCTGATGGATGCTTTCTAACCTATGGGTGACAGTAAACCATCTTACTTCACCTTTTAGAATGGTACCCAAGGACCATTGTATTCTAACACACTGTAGAGCAGACAGGATCACCTATAGCCAATAATAGAGTGTCTATCAGCAAGCAGAATAAATGTCTACAAGAATATTATACCAGTGAACTAAAGACATGACACGTGAGGTGGGCATGGATCAGGAGTAATTGTAAAACTCATCTTTTCTAACTTAAAATCGTGAAGAGGGTACTTAACCACATAAAGGTAATAATAAATTATCTTACTTCTTTTGGTGGTTCTTGATCATTAGTCCAGGAAGCATCAGAACCTTTATCACTATGAAAACAAATGAGAAAACAAAATCATTATTTTACAAGATGCATTATTAAACATCAGTAAATATTGGTAGCAGTATGGTTTCTCCCTGAATGAGCAAATATGAACCAGTAAAACAAAACAACAAAAAAAAAGCCTAAAAATAGAAATATAAATATAATGCATGGAACATGTCAAAACAGCAAAGGATTACTTTATCTGCTCTTGTCAACTTTCCATTCCTTCAAGCTGGTCTTGAAAAAGAACATAACACTGAATAAACCACGATAAGTACCACTTAAGAATATTTGCTATTTCAATATTTTGCTGAAGCTTCTGTTCATTTTGAAGAAATGGCATGTAAGTACACAGACAGCATGCAACCTCAAACACTCCTCCTGCAAATTAATTATGGACATATCTTTATACAGCAGGCCATTTCTAAAAGTTACTATGGAGATGTAGTTTTTACGTCCAGTTTCATATCAATCTGTGTACAAAATATTTTATCAGCAAAGATCCACAGAGAGTTCTCTTGTTTTCAAGTATGCCACAGGGACTATACTACTTCTCTGAAAGATTAGAGGATTAGGGATCGAACGATTATTGGTTTTGCCAATATTTAGATTTTTTGTAAGTATCGGTATCCGCCGATAATCACCAGTAATACAGATGAGGTGGACGGGCACGTCCATAAGGCGGTACAAGTGGCCGCATTTGAGCGCACGGGCCTGGAGGGCGCTAGATTGGAGTGACTGACAGGAGGTGGGCGCACAGTGCTCCCTCCTGCCAGTCACTCTGTTTGGCGTGACAGAGTGGAGCAGTGTGCTCCGCGGTACAGGAACTTATGTTTCCTGTAACCGGCGGGACTGAAAGGATGTGCTTGCTGACAGAGCACTTCCAGTCAATCCGGCCAGGTACAGGAGACTGAATCTCCTGTACCGCAGGAGACAAGACAAGGGGAAGTTACACTTTGGGAGAGGGGAGGGTAAGTGGGAGGAAAAAACACTATGGGACAAAGGAGGGAATGAAAGAACACTATTGGGGGGGGTGGAGGAAAGAACACTATGGGACAGGGGAGAGAGAGGGTAGGAAAGAACACTACGGGAGGGGAGGGAGAGAAAAATCGCTATGGGACGGGGGGGAGGGGGAGGAAAGAACGCTATAGGATAGGGGAAAGTAAAGTAAAGTACACTATGGGACAGGGGAGGGGGGAAAAGAACACTAGGGGGAGAGAGAGGAACATTAAGGGATGGTACTAAGGTACAGGGAAGGGAAAAGGAACACTGGGGTGGGTGGGGGTACACAAAAAGATAAGGGAGAGGAACATTAAGCGGAATGGGGGGGAGGGGAAGGAGTTTCTACCACAAATAATTACACACAGACACATTGCATCCACTACGCAAACACACACACACACACACACATTTACTAATCAAATACTCTCATTTCATCCACTACACACACACATAAATATTCTTGAAAACATTAAAAAAAAAATCTGACTGGCATGTATATTTTGTGCATTTACCACTTAATAAAAAAATAAATAAACGGTAAATGTACAGAATATCGGTAAGCTATTGGCCTGAAAGTTTACAGATTATCGGTATCTGCTCTAAAAAAAAAAAAAAAATCAATATCGGTCGATCCCTATAGAGGATATCTGCTGAATTTCTGATCTGGTTAAATTGGCATGTTTTAGACACATTATACAATGTAACTTCTTCAGGATACAGCATTTAAATTAAAGATCAGTGATCTGAAGTGGTCATGGTGCCTGGAGACTAAATGTGCACTTATGGTCCTGGATATTGACCCCTCTGATGGCAGTTGTGTAACTCCACTAGAGATCAGGGATGGCTATGGTCAATTCTGTGCAATTACAGCGCAGAACACTCAAAACGCTCTGCACTTTACAATTGCAGCATGAGAGCAATTGTTTTCCTCTTTTCGCCAAAACAAATAAACATTGAAGCTATGAGGAATCTAAATGCCCATTTAAAAGGTTGTAAGTCTTAAGAGAAGGACATACATGATGGAAATAGTCTGTCATACATCCTGAAGTGGCTACATAATAGAATAAAAGATCAATGGTGCAAAGAAGTGTCATTTATAACCATTCTGTAGCTCAAAATTTTTGTACAGTTCAACCTTGCAGCAGATATAGTATTAACCATTAACAGAAAACAAAAAAAACACTTTTAAGTAACTCATTGGTGTATTGGTGTATTAAGAGGGTATGAATATGTGTGTTATCTTTCCAGTCTGACTCTGGAGCGCAAATTTGATCCTATTTGCCAAGGTCACCCATTCTGTCCTTCAGATCATCAATACTATGCCTAAAGCAACAAGATATATGGAAAGCAGAAATAGCAAGGCCTTCAAAACAGATTTGAAACAATACTACTGTTATTGGAAGAGATATTTCTGTTTGCCAAAAAACTACATGACATCAGCAGAAACCCTATATGTATGTATTTGTATAGCTCACACTCAAATCTGTTTTCTAAAATAAAATAAAAAAGTAAAAAATAAAAAAAGCACAACACATTTGCACCTGTATTCTGTGTAACTCAGGCCTCTTGGAGCCTTCAGAACCAGTAGAGGTTGTGTTCCTCTTCAGGATCCAAAAAACAACTTTATTGAATTTCTACATAGGTGTGGCAAACCTAGCCACTTGGACATTATTTCTGTACTGTCTCTTTAAGGGTTGCCGGTATGGGGTTCATGTTATGTGTTCCTGTGTGTAATGCAATGTAATGTTAATGCTGTATTTCTTACCTGGGCTATCTGCCGAACGCAGATAGCGGATTCCCTTTCGTTTCACGAACGGCACCTTTGCGGGCCGTTCGGGAACCGAACAAAACACCAGTTAATAGCGCACACACTTATAGGCGTGTGGCGCCTATTAACCGATTGCAACAATGTTGCAATCGGTAATTAGAGGCTCTCCAAGGTGGCCGTCCGACTACCGACCATGCGGCGGTCGGCCATCTTGGATCCTTTGTTCCCTCAGCGGTGTTTGGTCGTCGAGCGCATGGTACTAAAAACGGCTACTCGACGGCACAAACACCGCTGAGCTTCCAGGCCGTTCGGGAGGTCCGGGACATTCGGTATTTTGTTCCCTCATATACAATCAGTATTTTAAAACTATGTTTTGGTGAATGTGTTTTTCGTACGGCGTTCGGTTGTTTTAGCTGGGATCTGAGCGGTAATCTCACGAATGATGCGCTCAGACCCCAGCTATCTACCGAACGTCCATTCGTTTAAATGAACCAGATATTCATGAAGTTATGGAATTTAATGTGAATTGTAAGTTCTGCTGCACGGAGGGATAATCCACTTAACGGTACATTCCTGTGGGAGGATCCCTCTCGTGCAGCAGTGCCTGATGGGAGAAATGCCCTGTATTGTAAGTCCCCCATGTAGTCCCCTCTGGGAGTGCCCCTGGGAGGGGACTCAGGAAACCCCTTGCATGGGGACTTGTATAAATTGTGGAGCTGAATTAAAAGACCTCAGTTGACTCCCAGCCTACGTGTCGTCTAGTTCTTGGGAAGGAAGGGTTACTGCAGTGCTGTTTGGATTATTGTATGCTGATTCCCTGGATTATCCTTTGTTGTTCCTGTTACCCAGCAGAGATATCGTGGTTTATACTGCCTCTCCGCTACAATAGGACAATGACCATACATGACACTAGGTACTTTAATAAAAATGAAACCACTGGGCCACCTTTCAGCTTGCAATTTAATAAATAATGAATATCCAAACTGCAGTAAGAAACAATTATTCCACACACACCATACTGTTTTGGGTACCTAGATATGTTCCATAAATAACTATGACAATGTGTTGCAATTCTGAGAAAGCAACACCTGAACAGAAATTGTGGGAAACTGCTGCAAATCACATGTGTGCATTACGGAATATATTTACTTAAGATTATAAAGTCCTTGAATATAGTAGTCCAGCAAATGAAAAATGGTACAAACACTACGCGAAGTGAACTTAACAGCTTTTTAATGAAGCATTACAGGACCCTGTGTAATTTTTCATTAAAAAGTTGTTAAATTAACTTTGCCGAGTTCCTGTATTTGCTTTGAAGAATTGTATCCCATTGGGAGTGCAGTCCCCTTTGCTGGAAATTCTTGACATAGTGCAAAACATTTTATACATAACGTATACTTTTTTCCCCATCAACTATAACTTATGGATGAATGCCTTCAACAAAAACAAAATAGGGCTCTTTCTGGTATGCAAAGACCACCCTTAACTCCGTTGCATAAATATTTCAGGTTTAACACTTTCCCTTTAATTAACCTATGTATTTGAAGCAGGTAGAGTATCTGATTGGCATGTATATGGAATGTTAAGACTTTTTTTTGCCAGACTCCTTTGCTCATAAACCGTAACCATAATTCCTAAAACTCTTACAGAGTTATTTACTAAAGTGGGTATTCAAAGTGAATTCAGAGTGAGTTTAAAGATTTAGGCCAAAATAACTAAACTGGAAGCATATCGGACAATGAATATTTCCATTTGGCTATTTTGACCTTAAATTTGGAATTTACTTTGAATTCTCACTATCGTGAATAACCCGGTTAGAATCTAGTTTGGCAGTGATAACCAACGAGTATTTGTAAGGATTACAATTTATCCAACACGCCGTATTAGTAGCACACTTAGGAATAAGGATAATGTCTAACCGGACCTTAGAATGGCTGGACTTAACATACCAGAGAATACTAACCGAGGTCAGGAACACAGAACGAAACATAGTTGCAAGGAATAGCCAGTAGTCAGGCAAACCAGAATTCAGGGAAGTCAGAACAAAGCCAAAGTCAATAACCAAAGAAACACGATCAGGAACACACTCAGATAACCAGCAAAGGTAAACCACGACAGGGTAATAAGTAGAAGAAACGAGTAAGTTTAAATATCCCTCTTGTGAATCCGATTGGTCGTACATGGCCTTTGACCCCAAAACATGCGCGCACAACCTCTGCATGACATAACCGCATGTCGACACCACCGTGGACAGACGTAGGGCTACATAACAGTGTGGATCCGCAGCGACCGGCATCCACCGGCATTTTGCAAAAGCCCGGCCTTATGGCATAGGACCACCGAGCAGCCCTTCTCCTGGAAAAGTGATTTATGTTGTGCATAGGATATGGAGAGGATGTATACGTGACAGTATTAAAGGAACACTACAGGCACCACAAAAGTGAGCTTAATGGAGTGGTTTAGGTGTATAGATCATACCCCAGAAGTTAAATCACTTTGTTTATGCATCATTAGCCACACTTTCCCTGCCTGTGACTCACAAAGCCTTCCTAAACACTTCCTGTAAAGAGAAATCTAATATTTAAGCTTACTTTATTAAACATCTATTTCATTTGGAAAATATATCCTGCTCTGTTAATAGGCTTGGAGAACCTGCAGGAGCCTCTTGTGTGTGTGGTCTCACAGAGGAGGAGATTAAAACTTCTAAAGCACGTTAACATCTGATTGGAATTGAAATTATTTTTTAATGAAAGCGGAGAGTCACGGCCAGAGAAGGTGTGGCTAGGGCTGAATAAACAGAGACCAAAGTGGTTTAAACTCCTAAATTGAAGAAAATTGAGCAGACTACAAAAGCATGATCTAGACACTAAAGCTGCTTCATTATGCTAAAGTTTTGAGCAGTTAAAAAAAAAAAAAAAAAGTCTCCCTGGCACAAGAAGAAGCACCCCTCATTGGACACGTTGATAATGCACAATTTGCACTTTTGTAATGTCATTATCAATACTGTCCAATATGGACAGCATTTATAAGCGGATAGCACTGGGCTAACAATTCAACACACTAAAAGTCAGTCAGTGCAATGCATCAACAAAACTGATTATGTAGAAGTGTAACAGCAACTAAACTGAAGGCTTCCTGCACTTTGGGGATTTACTGAAATATACCATGATATACCTTTTTTGGATTTTACCTCATATTACATTTGCCCTCGAACTCACAAGATTCAATCACTCCAGTAAAAATAACTTCTTGTTCACTATGCACATCTGTATCGCTAATCCTCACCTACAGGTGTATCAAATGAGTGGGTAAATGAAATTAAGATAAAATCACCTAGAGATTGTGGTACTGGCTTGTCTTAAAGGCTATTCCCCCACAGCTTTGGGATATTTAGCCAGGGATACTACAAGTAATTAAGATTTTCCACCAGATTGTGCAACAAAGCCAGTATAGTCTCAGAGTATTTAATTTCTTTAACCCTGCAGATTCAAAGTTGAATAGAAGGCATTGCTGCAGATTCCCAAAAAAAAATAAAAATAAAAAAAATCAATCTGGGAAGGGAGACCTTCTACACATAGGCTATTGCATCATCAAAAAGGGAAGAGAAGAATACACGTGGGTGCGCAACTGCTATTCCTTGATAAAGGGAAATCAACCATTGATGCATACATCCTAATAGGGTAGTTCTATTTGTATTACGCAAATCATTTTAAATATCATGCAAGTTTGGAGAAATCCACTGATACCAAGATACTTCATTTGATCTATGCACCATTTGAAAAACTGGTTGAGCAGCGCCACATTTTCCTGATGGGGAAGCATGACATTTACCCCGAAAAACGTGCACGTACAGCACCTGGAGGGTGATAGCACAGCCGGGGACACCCGGGCGCATCGACAGGTACCAATCGTTAACCAGACATTAACCGGGAACCGGCACCCGTACCAAGAGGCCTACTCGAGACCCTGCCGAGGAGAGGCGGCCGCTCTCCTCGCGGACGACACCGCAGTGGGAACCTCCAAATTACTCACCTCCTACCCCCCCGGACCGGCAGGGGTTATCCCGGTCCGCACAGTGTGTGCCACGCTGATCTCAGCACGACGACAAGGCAGTGAGATCCCCCACGAGGCACTCATAAGATGGTGGCTGGTAGCGAATCGTTCACGCTGAACCTGCTCCCGCAAGCAACAATCTACCACGACACCACACAGCGCCTGAACGAAATATTCAGACGCTTCTGGGCAAAATTAAGAAACCGCCTGAAAACAACACAGGCCGCGCAGGGACCTGCACAAACAGCGGGTAAGCGAGATAGCTGGCAGCGGGGACATGGGGGCATACCCTTGGGCGTAGCGACGGACGACCCACAGAACCCCAAACCACAGAGCCTACCCGGGCTGGAGGCCAAAAGGGTGAAGACCCGGATGCATCGCCCACACCCACGGAGGCTCCAGCACTGCAAACGGCCAAAGTCCATCAGGCCCTCCACTACCCCCGAAAGGGGAGGAAACTCTGGCTCCAGAAGCTGCAGAGTTCGTGGCACAGAGATGCAGGCCCATGCAACAGCCTGGGGCTGGAGGGATGCCACCATACTGTCTACTGCTCCAGCGGCCTCCAATACCTCACCACCAAATGCTAGCTGCTTTCAAAGAGACGGCATCGGATGATAGAGACTCACTATACAAAGCCTCCAGAAGGTCAGCGCCGGGCCCACCATCCATCAGCTTAATCTGACATACTGCATGACCAGGACTGACATCCATGGAGAGCAGAGGGCAAAAACACACGCAGCCCCGGACAAGAGACTTTCAAGCTGTAAAGTTATCTGTTAGACAACTGTTATATATTTACTTTTACTATTTCTAAGCATGTAATCTACATATCATACCATAAGCTCAAGCAGAAAAAACGAAGTCACATGAACATGGTCAGCCTAACTTAGCATGTTAACCATGATCCGCTTCATGTCAGTAAATATAACATACTGAAATTCATACTGCATGATGTTAACCTTATGACATAACTTATTAAGCCTGCTCTCGACTAGATAGACAATGTTTAATTGATATTGGCACTGTCGGCACCAATATTTGTCTATCTCCAGCCCTACGATCTTACTGTGAGTTACTATAACAGACAAGCTGAGCTAGCCTGTACTAAGCTTATTTAATGCCTAGAAAACGACATGTCTCACATCCTGCCTACTTTAAAAAATATATATATATATAAATACTGTATAACATGTTCACATATCACAGTTACCCTAGCTTGGTCAATCAGGCACCGTTAAACTTACTTACTCCACCTGCTTAGACGACACCTCTGCCTAGATATGCCTGTTTTCCATAGAGAGCAATCTGTGTGATTTCAACAAGCTTAATTCTTTCTTTTCCTTTCTTGCTCTTAATTAAAAAATGTGCACATACTCCCGAACACCCCAATGTTATAAGTGTTGAAACTCAGCGTGGGGATTGCTGTTGGGGCACCACACGCATGCTGTTATATATCTTTGCACTGCAAAAATAAAAATAAAAATAAAAAATTCACTATACTAGACAATGCAATTAAACGTCAATCCAAAAAGCTGGGAAAAAAATTCTATTTTTATTTATAAAAACATCATTTTTAAAAAATTGATTCAATTAAGGTAAACCCAATCCCTTTAAAATTAGGCACTGCATCAAACACCTCTTACCATTAAGCACTCAAAGGGGCACTATAGGGTCAGGAACACAAACATGTATTCCTGACCCTATAGGGTTAAAACCCCCATCTAGCCACCCTGGCCCCCTCATGCCTCCCTAAATATAGTAAAATCTTACTTGTGCTGGCTTTTGTCCCTGTTTCCATTACACCTGCCCACTGCCATCAGCAGAAATGGTAGCCTGATCCGATCACAATGCTTCCCCATAGGATTGGCTGAGACTGACAAGGAGGCAGATCAGGGGCAGAGCCAGCACAATTCAAACACAGCCCTGGCCAATCAGCATCTCCTCATAGAGATGAATTGAATCAATGCATCTCTATGAGGAAAGTTCAGTGTCTGCATGCAGAGGGAGGAGACACTGAATGTTGGGATGCATTTTAGGCAGCCATGACCCATGAAGGATCTCTAACAACCATCTAAAGAGTGGCCAGTGAAGTTATCACTAGGCTGTAAGGTAAACACTGCATTTTCTCTGAAAAGACAGTGTTTATAGCAAAAAGCCTGAAGGTAAGGATTCTGCTCACCAGAACAAATTCAATAAGCTGTAGTTCTGATGACTATAGTGTCCCTTTAACCACTTAAGGACCAAACTTCTGGAATAAAAGGGAATCATGACATGTCACACGTCATGTGTCCTTAAGGGGTTAAATGCTCAAAGCTCAATACTAGTTTGAGATATAAAAGGACTAAGGAACAAAATTTAATTTACAACATAGAATAGGACAATAACATAAAGCAACGCTATAGTCCAGTGGTTCTGGTGTCTACATACTATCCATAGAGTCCACACAGGACAAGTTTGTTAATCAGCACTTATAGGGAATCACAGAAATACATCAGGATAAAATCGTAGAAAAAGAATGCCCATTTATTGTAGTCAAAAAAGTAAATGGATATGGCAAGATAATAGAATAGCAGTCCTCATGTATGCTATATTGGTCCAAGCATGTGGAAGTGAAACAAGTTGTGAGTAAAAGTATAAAAAGTCCAAAACCTGAGCATGGAACCACCCGCAGCTGCTATACAGGGGAGAGACCAACAAAGAAGCCGACCCTAGAGAAAGATTAGAGAAGTTCTGGACGCGTTCTGAGAAAAGGCAGCGTTTACATTGTTCCCTAGTAACACCTCTGGATGCCGTCACTTAGTATGCCTCTAGAGGTCCTTCCGCAGTTCAGAACTGATCTTTGGTGTCTTCACGCTCTGCATGAAGATGTTGAAAACAGCATTACGACACTGCAAGCACAGTGAATGCTCTAGCAGAGTCCTATAGTAAGCCCTCAGACCAGTCATGTGTTTGCCGCACATTTGTAATAGTCTAATATAGCTTCGATATGTAAATCGTTTCACTGGAGCTAAAAACTGGATTACAGGTAGATAGATAGATATATAGATATAGATATAGATATATAGATATAGATATATAGATAGATATATAGATAGATATATAGATATATATATATAAAACCATGGTTGGAAATGTGCAAAATAATGCATATACAAGTAGAAATGTACACTAGAAAGAAAGGACATGTGAATCGGACTATAGTTTGTCTTTAAAATAGGTTCCCACTTAATTTAAAAAAAGGAACTGATTTGGTGCAGCTAAGAAATTAAACTGGCATATACCAACAACATAGCTGGTATTTTTTGCTTTTTTAAATTTTAGATTGGAAAATAATGTGCAGTAAATTAATGTGAATACATTTTGCATTCTATTCTATTTTTTAGTTCCATAAATGTTTAGGCTCATGGTGTGGGCTTTTCTAACTTGTTTCATGCATGAGATTCTCAGACTAATAGTGCATGATATTTCCCCTGATTGCATGTAATTTATAAATATATTTTCTACATTTTTTTTTTATCCAACTTGCTATACAGACTTTGTGAGCAAGTTTCCCCTTTCAGTTTAATGCATAACTTACGGTTTATGCAGATTTCATTACCACCTGATTTTAGAACTTCTTATTAGTGGTTTTCTGATTCTGAAAATGTGTTTATATATCTGCTTTAATTACAGCTTGATGTTCACCCAAATCACCACCATACATCTGGTGTTGTGATGCCTCAAACACTAGAATACTTACTATGTTTAAAATATCCCTATTCACTTTTTGTTGTTTGCTAACAGAAAAAATAAGAAATGAAAAGGCTATATCCTTCAGGTGATATTTCTGTATGAAAGGAGGCCAGAGATATAAAAGTAGTAATTTAGTTCTTAAAGGGACACTATAGTCACCAAAACAACTTTAGCTTAATGAAGCAGTTTTGGTGTGTAGATCATGCCGCTGTAATCTTACTTCTCAATTCTGTCATTAAGGAGTTAAATCACTTTGTTTATGCAGCCCAAGTCACACCTCCCTGCATGTGACTTACACAGCCTTTCAACAGGTCCTGCAAAGAGTCATCTAATGTTTACACTTCCTGTATTAAAAATACCGTTTAATACATACTCTTGCATTTAATTAAAGTTCAATTTACAGAGCAGGAAATAAAAACTTTTAAAGTAATTTAAATCTGCAGTATACATTGCAGCTCTAAGTCAGCCCTCTGTGGCTGTCTAACAGACAGCTACTAGAGGGCTTCCGGAATCCAAACAAGCTTTTGGTCCGTTATCTGATGCTGGAGGTCGTCACGGACCTACAGCGTCAGATTTTCCCCATAGGAAAGCATTGCATAATGCTTTCCAATGGAGAAATCTAACGCGCGGAGCCTGACCCAGCGCCGATGGACATCGTTGCTTGATTCAGGTAAGTTGCTTAAGGGGTTTTAACTCCATCAGCCCCACAGGAGGGGGGCACTCCAGGAGCCTAAATTGTTAGGAAAACGGGTTTGTTTTCCTGGCACTATAGGATCCCTTTAAATCAGATATCTTTGAGACAAAGACAAACATAAATGTGCCTCCTATATAAATGACCTTGCAGACACCGCCATCCTCTTCTGGCTAGTGCTCTTCTGCTCCTGATGCTTCAGCACCAGAAGCCGACATCACTGCTATACTCGCACACATGCGAGAGAGTATAGCATTGAGGTTTACTGAGCATCTTGCAAGACCTACGGCATCCTCCATAGATATAGCCAATTCCTGCAGCAGTCACTGGTGGCACTTTTTGACGACTGTAGCCCTGTCCAGTGTCAAGAAGTGCATAGTGGAAAAATACTGAGGCAAAGTAGTCCCAACTATGTCTCAGTATATTTTTTGACTGTGTTAGAATTTCAATGACATTACAATAAAGTAATTATGAGTATTCCATAAGGATTCTAGCTTTATGAAATGTTCATTTTGCGGACACCAAATCAAATTACAGATCACTTGGTGTGCATAAAGTATTTGGGGAGATTTATCCAGTCAAAAAAAGGCACTCTACGGGGCAAAGTACTAAAAGTCCAATCACCATAGAAAGTTTCTCTGCATTTAGCACTTTTAACTGAAAGTAGCACATAATGTGCCTTGATAAGACTCTCCATACATTATCAGATTATAATTTCAGAAAAATCCAAAATACACCAATCCACAACCACTTATAAATGTGAACATAAACATGTATTCCTGACACTATAGTGCTGGAATCAAATAGTCTTCTGGTCCTCCTCTCCATGAAAATTAAAGGTTTATAAAGCTTACATTTTCTCCAAGGCTGCGCTTGCCACATCCCATAGGAGAGCACTTGGAGGCTATTATGCATCCACGACAAAACACTCTGCTGCACCAATGGACTAGTAAGCACCTCTAGTGGAGGTCTTAGTGACTGTCAGAGGTGTTACTAGCCGGCAATGTAAACACTTCCGTTTCTCTGTAAAGGCATTGTTTACAGTGCTAAGACTGCAGGGACATGCTATAGATACCAGAACCACAGCATTAAAGCAACACTGTCACTTTCTGGGGCCCTTATGAACATAATTACATTGAGACCTAGAGAGCAATTTGTTTGGGAAAAATGTACACAAGAACAATATTGTACATTTTGCTCTTGATGAATAGACCAAAATATGTTCTAAAAGTAGACTTGTGTATAAAACAGGTGATCAGGCTCATGCTGCAGCTGACTTACTTATACTCTAATAGTAATAATTAGCAAGCAAAAAGTTAACTGATATTTTTTCAATTCAGTGTTCTTATCTATGTGATCATTAAAATATAGAGACAAATGAAATATCCACCAACCAAAATGTTTAGTTAAAATGAGTAACCCAATTTAACAAACTCAATGCTTGTTTAATTTCAATGTATTATGCATTGGATAGTATTTAGAGCATAAACCAATTTGTTCTGTTGCTAATAAACCCTCTCTTGCCAACTGATACTCTGTGGATGTAGCTTCCCAGAATACCGTGTTTCACCTAAGGCAGGCAATTCAATTTGGCTATAAGCATTTATCAAAAAAAAAAAAAAATACATGGTAATCTTTCGTGGCTTTTCAATGACAAGGCAAATCTTAGAACAGGACTTGACAAATTTGCTCGAAATCTAGGAGCCAGCTAAAAATGTTAGGAGCCAGTTTAAAAAAAAAAAAAAAAAATAGTGAAGTTTAATTTACGAGAAATATACAATTCTTAAAGGGGCACTATAGTCATCAGAACCACTACAGCTTAATGTAGTTGTTCTGGTGCCTGTAGTCTGTCCCTGAAGCCTTTTCAATGTAAACACTGCCTTTTCAGAGAAAATGGCAGTGTTTACATTGCTGCCTAGTAAAACCTTTAGTGACAGTCACTCAGATGCCACTAGAGAGTCCTGTGTCAGTGCTGCACAGTGTGCAATAGGGAGAGAGAGAGAGACACACACACAGGCACAGAGAGAGACACACACACACAGGCACAGAGAGAGAGACACACACACAGGCACAGAGAGAGAGACACACACACAGGCACAGAGAGAGAGACACACACACAGGCACAGAGAGAGAGACACACACACACACAGGCACAGAGACACACACACACACACACAGGCACAGAGACAGAGAGAGACACACACAGGCACAGAGAGAGAGAGACACACACAGGCACAGAGAGAGAGAGACACACACACACAGGCACAGAGAGAGAGAGACACACACACACAGGCACAGAGAGAGAGAGACACACACACACAGGCACAGAGAGAGAGACACACACACAGGCACAGAGAGAGAGACACACAGGCACAGAGAGAGAGACACACACACACAGAGACACACAGAGAGAGAGAGACACACACAGGCACAGAGAGAGAGACACACACACACACAGGCACAGAGAGAGAGAGAGACACACACACACACAGGCACAGAGAGAGAGAGAGACACACACAGGCACAGAGAGAGAGAGACACACACAGACACAGAGAGAGAGAGACACACACAGACACAGAGAGAGAGACACACACACACACAGAGAGAGAGACACACACACACACAGAGAGAGAGACACACACACAGAGAGAGAGACACACACACAGAGAGAGAGAGACACACACAGACACAGAGAGAGAGACACACAGACACAGAGAGAGAGACACAGACAGAGAGAGACACAGACAGAGAGAGAGACACACACACAGAGAGAGACACACACACACAGAGAGAGACACACACACACAGAGAGAGACACACACACACAGAGAGAGACACACACACACACAGAGAGAGACACACACACACACAGGCACAGAGTGAGAGAGAGACACACAGAGTGAGAGAGAGACACACAGAGAGAGAGAGAGAGACAGAGTGAGAGAGAGACACAGAGAGAGAGAGACACAGAGAGAGAGAGACACAGAGAGAGAGAGACACACAGAGAGAGAGAGACACACAGAGAGATACACACACAGGGAGAGAGAGAGACACACAGGGAGACACACACACAGGGAGAGAGAGAGAGAGACACACACACACAGGGAGAGAGAGACACACACAGGGAGAGAGACAGAGAGAGAGACACACACACAGGGAGAGAGACACTACCACACAGGGAGAGAGACACACACACAGGAGAGAGAGAGACACACACAGGGAGAGAGAAAAGACACACACACAGGAGAGACATTGCACACACACAGGAGAGAGAGAGGTGATTACCACACACAGGGAGAGAGACACACACAGGGAGAGAGAGAGACACACACAGGAGAGAGAGAGAGACACACAGAGAGAGAGAGAGACACACAGGGAGAGAGAGAGACACACACAGGGAGAGAGAGAGACACACAGGGAGAGAGAGACACACACACACAAAGGGAGAGAGAGACACACACACACACAAAGGGAGAGAGACACACACACAAAGGGAGAGAGAGACACACACACAAAGGGAGAGAGAGAGGCACACACACACACACACAAAGAGAGAGAGGCACACACACAAAGAGAGAGGCACACACACACACAAAGGGAGAGAGAGAGGCACACAGAGAGAGGCACACACAGGCACACAGAGAGAGACACACAGGCACACAGAGAGAGACACACAGGCACACAGAGAGAGGCACACAGAGAGAGACACACAGAGAGAGACACACACAGGCACACACAGGCACACAGAGAGAGACACACACAGGCACACAGAGAGACGCACACACAGGCACACAGAGAGAGGCACACACAGGCACACAGAGAGACGCACACAGGCACACAGAGAGACACACACACAGGCACACAGAGAGACACACACACAGGCACACAGAGAGAGACACACACAGGCACACAGAGAGAGACACACACAGGCACACAGAGAGAGACACACACAGGCACACATTTTAATACACACAGCCACCCTACCTTTTGGAGAGCGGAGTGGATGTTTCGCTGGGGTCCAGTGGGGCTGCTCGCTTATCCTGCGTGCGAGGAAGCCGTAATCTACCTGCAGCTCCTCTCTGTTCCCTGTAGTGATGCCAGGGCTCGAATTAGGTAATATTCCATCTCCCGGCATCACTATACAGCGTGAGGGAGCAGAAAGGAGCCGCTAGGAGATCACTGCTCCCTCGCAAGCTGTCCCAACCTGCTGCCTACACGATCTCCAGGGCGGCTGTCTTCACAGGCCTACGGGCAGCCGCATGCATGATGCCCAGGGTGGCCACCGAACGCTGCCATGGGCGACCAGCCGGCTCCATTGTTCTACCATCCTGCTTTTCGCTAAAGGGCTTCAAATCCCAGGCACCAGAGCAACATTTTTTGTCGCCTGGGATTTTCAAGCCCTGTTTTAGAAGTATATAATTCAACATAAAAGGGCACTAGAAGTAGTTTCTTACGACTACTATAAATCCTTTGGTGCTCATACTTTTCTGAACTTTATCTTACTGCAGTACTAAAGATATTTTGGCAAAACACAATTTTAGGTGCCCAATTTTAGGTTTTACACATTCTAAAACAGGTGATACAATTTTCATATATTAAACATTTGGACATTATTCTGCAAATTCATAATTTCCTTTTTTTCTTTGTGCCACTCTACCCTTTGCACATATAAAGGCACTATAATCACCAAAACAATATTAGCTTGGTGAAGCAGTTTTAGTGTATAGTTCATGCCTCTGAAGATTCATTGCTCTATTCTCTGCCCTTTAAAAGTTTATTCTCTTGGTTTCTGTCCATGCAGCCCTATCCACACCTCCCTTGGGTGTGACTCATTTTCAATTAGTGGTTAACTTATTTTAGAAGTTTTTATCTCATGCTTTGTAAATTTAACTTTAATCACACAAAAGAGGCTCCTGCAAGGTCTGGCAAGCTATTAACAGCACAGGAGATATCTTGTATATTTAATTAGATTAGATTGTGCAATAAAGTATAAACAGATTTCACTTAACAGGAAGTGTTTAAGAAGTCTGTGCATATTACATACAGGGATGTTTGACATGGGCTGCAAATGCAAAGTGATGTAACCCCTAAATACAGAGAATTAAAGGGACTCTCCAGTGGCAGGAGAACATATCAGTTTTCCTGACAATGCAGGACCCTGCAGTGCCTCTCTCCCTCCCACCCCGCTACACATGTTGCTGAAGGGGTTAAAACCCCGGCGCTGGGTCAGGCTCCGCCCATGCTCCTCCCCCGTCAGCCGGCGAGGGAGACCTGCCGCACGTGCATTAGACCTCCCCATAGGAAAGCATTATCCCATGCTTTTTTTTCTTTGGGGATTCTGGTGACGCTGGAGGTCCTCATGCATAGCGTGAGGACGACCAGAGTCGTTTCAAAACACTTTTCGTTTTCTAAGAAAACGGAAGTCCGGCTAGTCTGTGTCTGACAGCCACCAGAGGGAATACGTAACCCTGCAAGGTAATTATTGCAGTTTATAAAAACTACAGTAAATACACTTGCAGGGTGAAGGGTGGTGGGAGTTGGCACCCAGACCACTCCAATGGGCAGAAGTGGTCTGTGTGCCTGGAGTGTCTCTTTAAGCAGTGAGACTGCATGGGCGTGAGTTATATAACTGCTTGTTTTGGTAAAAAATAAATAAAAAGGTACTCTAATCAGTAAACACTATGGTAACGATCACATAAGGCTAAAAAAAACATATATTGGGAAGTGTAAAAAAATACAGATCCTTGCGTTACCAGTAAATTTGATAGAAAACGTAGCGCTTTTTCAAAATTAGGGAAATTTAGGATTTCATGCTCAAGCAGTCATGCCTTATGTCATGACCATCTCCACATTTGTGTTATTCCCATTATTAGCAACTGGAATTTGAGGCCAAATGTAGCACATCATGTACCAAAATATTACATGACAGATCAGACTTCCAAGATGTCCGAGATGTTTTAGTTGTATGCTGGCTACCTTTGCACATGAGACATTTTAAACCAAACATCATTACATTATTATTGCCACGTATATAGCGCCAACACATTCTAGTTAAACGTGTATTTGATTTGTGCAGAGTAAGGTTTGGAATACCCACCTTTTTAATTTATCGGGTATTACATACTGTGTAAAGTCTTCAATGTTCAGAGCAAAATACATAGTATCCTTTATCTTGATATCTTTTTCTTTAATTTGATCTGTCGTATTAAACCGTAACACATAAAATGGATGTGGAACAGGACCAAATATTTCAAATATCTGTGGATTAAAGATAAAATAAGAAATATGACACTTAACAGCAGCAGGACAGGAGCTCAATAAAAAGAAGAAAAGAAAACTCGCACAGGAATATTGCAGATAGCAAATAATTAATAACATTTATTTGGTGGAAGCATAAATCATATCTTTTATTAAACAAAGGTTCCAAGTTAACCATCTGGCGCTGTTCTAGAAGATTAAAAGAACATACATGAGAAAGAATAGCTGATATGACCAATGCTTCATGCTCAAGTTCTCTTTTGTTATGCAGTGGATAAAATGGGAAGGCTATTTTTATATCCTTACTGTAATTGGGTATTTTCTTTAAAAGTTAAATGTAGCTCTTACAATTAAAAATACTAAGGCATAAAGAAAACCAATTAATAAGTAGAAGTTCGCATGTGTATGTTGGATATGAATTAAAGAAACCTACAATGAAATGTGGCCATCCTTTTTGAACAAGGTAATATTCTATACAGAGACATTCCACGTTGCTCACTATATTTAGTATAGTACAGAACATACTAACGTTAAGGGGTTAAAGAAAGTTGTGCAATGTATAGACTTTGCTAATCAGAATAACTACAGCTGTAACCCAACTATATTCGGCTTGGGGATAAATATAAGGTTTATGCATTTAAAAACGGCTATTAAATTTACAGTCTCAGTATACCAAATTTTAAAAAGTTTGATATAAAAATTCACTTCCTTAAATATCTAACCAATAAATGCTAAAAATGTATTGTAAGTCTTGGCATAAGAAATATTAAATTTATTAGGACAGATAAATACATTTTTCGTATTTCCTTTAGCTTCGGTTGTGCATGTTAAGTTCTCGAGAATGGCTAAAGTCCCATGATGTATGTATCATTTATCTGAGAAATAAAGAATATATTTCATTGTTCAGTATGGTTTTAAGCAGCTACTTACCTCCTGTCCAAAGCTCCATGATTTAGTAGCTGTGTGCATTGCAAAAGGCTAAAGGAACACAGCAACTACAATGTTTTTCCTGTAGGTGCTGTGTAGGAGTGCAGAAATGACACTAGTAAAGGGTTTCTACTACTCTTTACTTGCAGTCAGTTCTCGGCATAGAGGGTTAACCAGACTAAGCTATGAATTGACATGTGAGAGAAAGGACCATTATTTTAAATCAGTTTAAAGAAACTAAACGTTTCCTAAAAGCTTTGTTACTACAATGTATAGATAGTGTGTGTGTGTGTGTGTGTACACCAAAAAGTATGGAACATATTGATAAAATAGAAAACATTAATATTGCTCTTTTGTATGGGCTCAAATTGTTTTTTTTTTTATTTATTTTTTTACAAATTATACATCTTGATAAAATTATCTTGATTTTTTTCCCTTTACTTTCATCACTTTAAAGGACTACTCCAACCACCATGAACAAGTCTGCTTTTTGAAGTAATCATGGTGGTAGGAGTCTGGATGTACAGTGTTTCAGCTTGAAGTACTTAAATGTTTGCTGGGGACAAGTTGCAACCCCACCATATATGACTTAGGCAGCCCAAAACTATTTCCTGGGCTTCATAATGTCAATTCTGTGCATAAATTACATTTGTTGTCAGCACGCACTGCACACTGGCGACAGATGTAAGGCTTCTGTTACGTCTGCAAGGGAGCTCGTCTCCCCTACCTAACACAAAACCTCCATTTGCAAGGTTTTTTTTGTTTGTTTTTTTAAATCCCCGCCCACCCTACCTCCTTTGATTGGACCTCGGCACATCTCCAATGACATAAGACAGGTGTGCGCCAAGCACACGACACCGGGGAGCTTCGCCAGGCACTGGATTAAGATAAGTTTAACAATTTTAAAAATGCTCTTCCAACAATTTTATAGAGGGGACTGATAGAATTCTCTTTTGGCATTGTTCTATCATCAGTGAAAAAGGGTTGCAGAAAGCCTTTAAGAACAATGCTTTGTTTTGGTTACTTTTCCTCTCTTTTTGAAACTTTTAATCTAGATTGAATAGCTTGAATGAGTGGGTCTAAAGCTGCATTTGTCACAATTCTACTTTTCTGACTTTTTCAATCTAGTGCAGTACCTCAGAGTGCAGCTACTTTTTTTTGGTGCTGTTGCAGGCTGGTGTACACTGTGCAGAGACAGGACTGTTCCCAGATGGCCCTACATTGTACTTATGTTCTCCCTATAAAGTCTAGCCTAACCCTAGGCTTTATAGTCAAGGTTTGGTCCTGCTGTGCTAAAGGCCTGAGGGCCCCTGCTCCCGGTGTGCTAAAGGCCTGAGGGCCCCTGCTCCCGGTGTGCTAAAGGCCTGAGGGCCCCTGCTCCCGGTGTGCTAAAGGCCTGAGGGCCCCTGCTCCCGGTGTGCTAAAGGCCTGAGGGCCCCTGCTCCCGGTGTGCTAAAGGCCTGAGGGCCCCTGCTCCCGGTGTTCTAAAGGCCTGAGGGCCCCTGCTCCCGGTGTTCTAAAGGCCTGAGAGCCCCTGCTCCCTGTGTCCAATCGGCCCTGCTCCATGTGACCTAATGACCCGAGGAGTTCCAGAGGCCTGAAAGTTTTCTTAAATTCAAAACAAATGATCACAATAGGTGTTCTTGTAACTGATACAACCATGTCAGAGGAAAATGAGTATGTTGTGGTTTATTTGCATATTTGGTTCCTACCTATGGTGGCTGTTGCTGTGGTCAGCACCCCATCCCAACCAAATCTTGAAAACATGCTACAATATTTTTGGTTCTAAATCCCCCTTATGCCCTGCAAGTCTGTGATTGTAGATAAAGTAATGGTAAATTCAGTTCAAAAACATATTGAGGGTGCAGTTTGAAACTCATGTCATGTTCCTCTTTATGTGAAATACATCCACACATATCACCTCCAAAAATGCTCCAGAATTGCTGAACACTATTGGAGAAAGTCTCACTGTGCATCTGACTTTCTCCACTATAAATTTATGCTGAGCTCATACAGCTTGGCTCTTTCCTCTGCAAAAGTTAATTACTTCCATACCCTCATAACCACACTCTCACGCGAACCCAAACAACTATTTCACACATTTAACTCTCTTCTTCGCCCTGCTGTTCCTCCTTCATCTACTAACTTGACCGCCTCAGACTTTGCAACTCACTTCACTGACAAGAGCTCTAAAATCAGAGAAGAGAGCTCTCATCTTTCTTCTTCCCCTTACAATACTTCCCCTAACTTCACTCCCTCTGCTGTTCTATGTTCATTCGCACCAGCTACATTAGAAGAGGTTTCTGCTCTGCTCCAGTCCTTCTGCCCCACCACCTGCTCCCTAGATCCAATTCCCTTGCATCTCACCCGTACTCAGTCTTCTCTTTCTCCACCTCACTAAAATTCTCAATCTCTCGCTCTCCTCTAGTATATATCCATTGCCATTCAAACATGGAACTGTAATCCCAATTCTAAAGAAGCCCAATCTTGACCCTAACTCCCCATCCAACTATCGTCCTATCTCGCTACTGCCTTTTGCATCCAAGATCTTTGAAAAAAAATTGTGTATGCGAGATTGACAGACTTCCTCAAGTCCAACTCTCTGCTAAACCCGCTTCAGTCTGGTTTCCGCGCTAAGCACTCTGTGGAAACGGCACTGACCAAAGTATCCAATGATCTACTCGCTGCAAAATCTCGTGGTCACTACTCTATCCTAATTCTCCTTGACCTGTCTGCGGCTTTTGACACTGTTGATCATCAACAGCTTCTTCTCATCCTCGGCAATATCGGTCTACAAGATATTGCTCTCTCCTGGTGCTCCTCCTACCTCTCCCAGCGCTCTTTCAGTGTTTCTTTCTCTGGCTCTGCTTCTTCTCCCCAACTCCTCTCTGTTGGTGTCCCCCAAGGTTCAGTCCTTGGTCCCCTACTGTTCTCCATCTATACTGCCTCCCTTGGTAAACTCATTAGCTCCTTTGGCTTCCGATATCATTTCTATTCTGATGACACGCAAATCTACCTGTCCTCTCCTGATCTCTCCCTGTCCCTCTTGACTAGTGTCTCTGACTGCCTCTCTGCTATTTCTAGCTGGATGGCTGCCCACTTCCTTAAACTAAACTTGCCCAAAACTGAAATTCTGGTCTTTCCTCCCGCAAGTGTTGTTATTCCTGTGTGTCTCCCTCCATGTCAACGGTGCTACCATCAGCTCCACCACACAGGCTCGCTGCCTAGGTGTTCTCTTTGACTCCGACCTCTCCTTCAAGCCTCATGTTCAATCAATCGCCAAAGCCTGTCATTTCCATCTCAAAAACATTGCGCGCATCCGCCCCTACTTAACACCAGATGCGACTAAGGTGTTGGTCCATTCCACTGTCCTTTCTAGCCTTGACTACTGTCATCCGCTTCTCAGTGGTCTTACGTGCTCCCAACTTGCGCTGTTACAGTCCATAATGAATGCAGCGGCGAGGCTCATCTTCCTGTCCACCCGCACCTCCCATGCCTCGCCCTTCTGTCAGTCCCTACATTGGCTTCCTATAAAATATAGAGCTCAATTTAAAATTCTGGTTCTTGCTTTCAAATCTCTACATAATGCTGCTCCCACCTATCTATCCTCCCTTATACACAAGTATGTCCCGTCTAGGCCCTTACGATCTGCTGAAGACTTACGTCTATCTTCTGTCCGTACTCCCACCTCTGATGCTCGCCTTCAAGATTTCTCGAGGGCTGCACCGTTCCTGTGGAACTCGCTTCCCTCCTCCGTTAGATGCTCACCCAGTCTCCTTCAAAAAAATCGTTAAAAGCCCACTTCTTCATAAAAGCGTATCAATTAAACTGTTAATAGCTCCTGACTTTTTGTCACAGATTAAGCATCCTATATTTCTTTTCCACTCAGACACACTGAGGAATTCTAGCTAAATGCATGCCTGCTACAAACATCGGCTCTGCACACAAAGGACAGATTGGTTCAAATAAATCCTGAATGCCTGTGCTTAAACTTTAGTAAAACAATTATCCATATTTACAGGAAAGATAATATTGTTTTACTACCTTGTCTGTCACATATAAACAATTAAGAACAGATGTAAGACTAAAAGAAAGCAGTCTTCTATTGTAAATTTATAATAAAAGTTTATTTTCTTCCCCAAAGTAATCAGAATAAAACCAGTCTTAAAACATACAGTTGAGACTTTCTTTCTGATTAATGATTTTGAGCTGACTGAAATAAACTTTCTTTCCTTGTACGGATCTGTTTTGACTTTCATATAAGAAGTCGAACCTCAATGTTTCACATAAATATTGTTAAGCAGACTAATCTTAAAAAAAGAATGCTGCATACATCAGCAATTGTGTTAAATGGACATGAAAAAAAAAAATCAATCTTTTGCTAAAAATACTAAATATTAAGTATACTGTTAGTTCATCTGGGATTTCTGAAGAAATGCAGCAACCAGATTACTGTGGAAAATAAAGTCTTGGAATGGTAATTACCAAATGTATTCAGTTTCACCATATCCCACAATCCAGTTTTTATAGAATTCACACTTGGTTAATCCTTCTGCATACATATTAAGATGTGCCCAGGAATAGCTCTAGACTAATTCCACTAGGGTGAGGTAAATCATATTCAAATGTTTTACATAAAACTGTTTCAGCAAAGAGAAACCCCTCCAACGCAGAAGTGTTAAAACATGAAATGCACAACCCCATCACAAAAATTTCACACTATTAGTCGCATTGCACCAGAGCCATGTTTACTATATAAACAGGCAGATAATGTTTTTTTCTTTCCCTGTGTCTGTTTTAAAAGCATAATACCCTACTGGGCATTATACTTTAGGTCCTATCCTCTCCAACTCGGGACAGCAACGAGAAGGAAGTTTTTTTCCCCACATGTGTTAGAAGAAGGAGATGGGAGTACCCCCAGGAAGGGGAAGGGGAAGGCTATATTCCCTTTGCAGGCGCTCTGCTTGCAAAAAGAAGATTAATATGTCTGTTGCCAGTGTGGAGTGCACACGCTGATGACAGACCCAAAATATGCACAGATTTGACAATAGGCAGAGCTGAATAGAATTGCGAGCCGTCACAGCTGCACATGTGGAGTGCAACAAGTCCCCAGAACATAATTAAAATCTCAGTATGTGCAGCGTTTCAAAATGAAATGTTGTACATACATACTCCAACCACCATGACCACTTCAAAGTGATCATGGTGGTTGGAGTAACTCTTTAAAGGGACATTGTAGTCACTATAACCATATCTCTTTGAAATGGTTATAGAGCATGGAGTCCCTTAGCACTGTGCCTCCATTTAGTTTTAAACCATGTATTAAATAAGCCCCTTCTGGAGGTGTGCCTAAGGCAGAGATTACACAATTCCTTGTTCGCATACCCATTCATACTGTCAGATTGTGCTTTGATAGTCAGCTGACACTCTCAGCCAATCACAGTTGCCCATTGCTGCACAGGCTAATACTTCCTTATTAACCAAAGCAGCACAGAAGGGATAGACTACCAGGGACTCTTGTTGAGCATTAAAATATTAAAAACAGTTTAAGTCTTAATGAAATGATGGTACCAGGGAACTCCAGAAACTATAAACAGTTTAATTAGATGAAGCAGACACATTGCCTACAATGTCCCTTTAACCGTGAAGGGCAATTTGCAAGGATATATAGAGATATATATAGAGATATATTATATATATAAAGCAACAAGGAAAGAGATGCACTCTCAGGTCTTTGTAAAAAAACTTGATATTATTTAATAACAGGTAACATACATCTGATCGACGTTTCGACCTCTTCAGCTCTTCCTCAAGATCTTGAGGAAGACCTGAAGAGGTTGAAACGTCGATCAGATGTATGTTACCTGTTATTAAATAATATCGAGTATATTTTACTAAGACCTGAGAGTGCATCTCTTTCCTTTTTGCTTTACATATACAGCGTGGGATTGCACCAAGGCAGTCTTTTACTGATTCATTGAAAGGGTGAGTGCCACTATACTTGTGTGTGTGTGTGTGTATGTATATATATATATATATATATATATATATATATACATACACACACACATATATACACACACACACACACACACACACACACACACACACAAGTATAGTGGCACTCACCACTATACATAGATATAGAGAGAGAGAGAGATACACACACACACACTTTATCTTGTTTTAATTTTAATCACTCATGCAACGTACCTTTCCAATAGAATGTCGATCTTCCTTAAAAACCACACTGTCTTCATTTAGAGGTGGGATATCTTTCATTGACTCAATAATTACTACAGAAAGGAATATAAACACGTTATTAAAAAAGATTAACCAGGAATCAATGGAAAGGTGACATTCTGAGATGTTCACAATTACATTTTCAGGTTATTAAATAGTTACCAGCAGGACATTTTAGGAAATAAACAAAAATATCCTGCTATAACCATTTGAAATGTTGGAATACATACATATCCTAGATTACTAGGAAATATAAATAATCAAGTATTATACCACTGATATCACATTCTGTTTATGATTTCATTTATTGATCATTTTTCAGTACAAAACTCAAAAGGCAGGTTTACACAAAATTCAAGACTTACGGTAACTAAACAAACAGAATGGTGAAAATTCTAAACACATGCACTGAAATAAGACTTCATTAAACAATTTATATTTATCTTCTGACCCTTGTGTTCTTTCACTTCTTCAAATGTTTGTGACACTAAGAGAGAAATACATAGTTTACATGCAATCTTCTCGCCCCCACCCCCCATAAATTAAGACAGTATGCTGTCTTAATAAAAGGAAGCGTCTAGGGTGGTGAGGTGCAACACTTCTTAGCAGGCAGTACAAATGCAACATAATCAACATACAGTGTCATGCCCACCAAGCATAATTTATTGTTCTACTGCAGAAATACGGTCAATAAATGTAACGTGCATAGTGGATACATGAAATGGTGGTAAGGATGATTACAGCACTGAAAGGGTTAATCTGGCAGTTAGCAGTTATTTGTCAAATCATAGGAAAAAGGTTGTGAATTGGATTCCTTCCTGCATCCCCTCACTAGGTGTGAAACTTTGCATCCAACAGACATTCATGTATCGTATTCGTTTTCCTTTTGGCCGCTCTGCTTAGCAGACATTGGGCCCTTATGATATTCTAATCAACAATTAGGAGCCATGCGCTCTGCTAGAAGTCATATCTAAGAAAACAATAATAATATTCCAGAAATAAATCACCGTGCCTCCTGTTATATTCAGGATACAGAGCCACCAGGTCGGCATGAAAGGTGTATAACATTATTAGGAAACCGTGGTGGTACGAGGAGAAAGATTGATGGGGCTAGAAGTAACCATAGAAATCATATTGTGCTTTTATAAGAGTGCAGTTCTTTTAGTAAATGAATATGTATGCAGTGGTGTAAAAGTGGTATACTGTATAAGTGTTATCCTATGTTTTACATATAATAAATTTTTAGCTGCACACTGAAAACTACATTTTGGTATGTTTTATGTGTCAACTCACTATTCTGGGTTGATTCGTAATAATATTTTAGTACACTGTGCATGCACCTATCTTTTGTTTCTATTTTGGAATATGGCTGGTTTGGGAGTGCTTGCTTGGTTGTGGTTGCAAATATAAAATTTCAACCATTGTTTCAGGTCTTGTATACATATTCAGAACGCTAAAGGTGTTCCCTACAAAAGAAGGTCAAACAGGACAAGTGTATCTTAATGCGTTTTTTTAGCAATTGGAAAAGAAAAGAGCATTTTAGAATGGTTTGGCTTCTTACCTGGGCCTGCTGGGGGCCACTCCTTGCCTCTACTACTTCCAACAGAGCAAAAATGCTCTCTGTCTGAGTTAAGTCCAGTAGTGCAGCCAATGAGCTAGCCCTGCTTCTGCTTAGGAGCTTTCAGCTCTAAGTTGTAAGTAGTGGAGGCGGGAAGTGGCACCAAGAGAACTCAAGATAAGACAGGGGTGAAAGGGCACATTATAGGAGTAGGAATGTGTTTCTAAAGGCTGGAAGGAAACAGAAGTAGTGAGCGGAGCAGGAACAAAGGCACAATAGCTGTGGAGGAAGATAGCTGTGGAGGAGAGCTGGTGAAGGTATTGGATTGATTACTGTAAGGGGAGAGACAGCTATGTGGACTGAAGAGATATGAGAAATGTACATGGTGAAAGAGCCACATAGAAAACTGCTGCAAGGCAGGATAAGGGTATAATCCTAAAACAAAATTTGACCAACATTTAAAGAATACCTGGCATGGTACACACTACTACTTCATGTATACATTGTGGTAGCAAATGTCTAGATTAGGAGAAAGAAAAAAGCTTTTTAAAAGTAGGTCATTCCAACACTTCATTACATTACCCTCTATGCTAAATAATAAACGGACATGGAAACATGACTGACATCCTATGTGTTATTTTGCTCTCCAGGAATAGCCTTCACCTCTCGTCTCTGTTCATATTTTGTATGTCAGTCAACTACTTGTTGTCAATTATCCCCATTCTAAAATTGTAAAATGCTCCAGAAATAGGTGCTATATAAATAATTATATTGATAATATCAACCACATCACATGTTCTGATTGCTATAGTTACTTCATATCAAACATCTGGCACGGCCACGGAGCATAGCACCAAGCAGTAAAGCCAGCATTTTGGTGTCATGGAGGAAGTTTGCACTGGGAAATTTCACCAAGCAGAGCAATCAAAGCAGAAAGCAGGCAAACCTGTCACAACAGATTCACTTTGTGTGTTTCAGACTTAAAGGAACACTACAGCCTTATAAATATATTCGTAACATTATACTGTGCTGAAGCAGTTTACTTAAAGCTTCTCTGCAACCTCAAACTTACCTTTCTCTTATCGTTTCCCCTTATCTTCTGCTTTAAGAATGTTCTTTTCTTCATTTCTGATCATTTCTCTTTAAGACAGAAGACAAAATAGGGATTACTTTGTCTTATGTATTTTTTCCTATGATGAACAATTCTTCCTTTCTCAAGCTAACAAAGGTTGAAGTTTGCATTAAGATCCAATGCAATATTGCCAAGTGTAGGAAAAATACATAAGACAAAATAGTCCTTACTTTATCTTCGTTTTAAAGAGAAATAGATCAGAAATGAAGAAAAGAACAACAGATTTTATTAATGACACGGAGGCGAGTATTATGCTATCTCTTTCTTACTTTATTCCTCAGCAGCAAAGAGAAATATAACTGAAAGAGAAAAATATGTATAATATAAGCAATGTATAACAGATACAACCATATCTGCCTAGTAACAGGGCAGCCAATCAGTCTCTAGAAACAGTCCATAAATCTCTATCCTTGTACTTCCACTTCCTCTTTCTTTGCTGCTGTCCTCAGACCAGCTAAGTATAATTTTTCTCTCCTACTTGGTTTTGATTGATGGGTTTTTTATTAAGGTTTTTTGCCTGTGTTATTTATGTTATCACTTTTGTGTTTGCTTATTACCTTTTACTTGCCTTATTGACAGGCTTTATGTCGGTATTCTATTGATTTTTATACCTCTTTTGGTTGTATATATTTTTTGCCTCCCCTGCGTTTGCCCGCCGCTTCCCCTGTCTGTCTGGCCGTCCCCCTTTCAGACAGGGTTCGCGGCTAGCAGGGGAGGTTCTTTCTGGAGCCCTCTGCTCCCCGGTTTCCCCTTTCCCGCGCGGCCGCGCTTATCTGCCGACCCGATCTCCCGCTGGTGCGAGGAGTGCCGGCCCCGTGTGTGGTCGCGCTCCCCGTCCATTAGCGGGGGAGGAGTCTGGAAACGGCCGCGACGCTTCCTGCGCGCGGCGGCCATCTTCCCCTCGGTTTCCACGCGGCTGGGTCGGCTCCCTCTTACCTCCCTTTACTGTGTGCAAGTATTTTGTTTATAGTTTGTTTTTCCTAGTGGGTTACTCAACCCTTTATACTGTGTAGGTTATTTTCTGTCACCTGTTTTAGTTTATTCAGGTTTTTACAGATTTGCCCTGCTCCTTGTCTCAGATATTTAAAGGGGCAGTACTTGCAGCCTCTATTTGGCTTTGTTAATTATGCAGGCTAGGGGTGAGGATTCTGATAGTCCCAGTTACCCCATTATGGACTCCTCTCAGGCCCCTATTACAGGGGGTATGGGCCTTACTACTTCACAGGAGTTCCAGGCCCTTTTTGATTCCACCATGCAGAAGGCACTGGCTTCGGCCATGGGGACCGTGTCCTCGTCCCTCTCCCACACTATTCAACAGGCACTGTCGCAGCCTTTGGGCCCTGCCGTGTTTCCTGCTCCCCTGCCTGCGCTGCAGCCCCAGACGACCCAAGGCACAGACAAAATTTAAACATGTCTCTCCAGAGGTGACGCAGGTGATACCTGCCCTGACTGACGTGCCTATGGCCGTCCAAGATGGCGCGTTTCCGCGCAAGAGAGCCGCTGGCCGGGCAAAATCGGCCAGAAAATTGAAACGGGCACGTGCCCGTGATGATGATGGATCGGATACCGATCAAACTGGAGAGTCGGACTCGGATCCCCCTGATTACGCCTCTTATGAGGAAGGGGTTTCCGGCGATGAGGCGGAGTTCGACGCTTCGGCGCTTCCTCCGGGTGAGGGGAAGGACATCTGTGATCCTCAGGGTTACCCCCTGTTCGATCCCGATGACCTTCGCCATCCCCGCTCGGCGGAAAGGGACCTGCCCGCTCATGTTGCCAATTATCTGGCGCTTCATATGCGTACCCCCCTTTCCAAGGAGGGGCGCAGTAAACTGAGGGCCGAGTGCCCAAGGCCTGCGGTGCCTGATTCGGCGTGCAAGACGCCAGAGGTTGACCCCCAGATTTCTCAGTTCTTAACTAAGACGGATTGGAAGCCCCGGAAAGGACTGGAATTTTCACTGCATAATTGCCAAGACAAGATCTTGGATAGCCTGGGCACCGCCGCCAAGCTTTATGAGCTTCTGGAAGCAGCTAAGGCTGGAACGAGGCCTATTGGCTTTGATGAGGTGATTGGGTGGGTCCAGAGGTTGATTTGCCTTCTCGGCAACGCGAATACAGCCATGTCAGCTGAACGCCGCAAGGCGATTCTGCTCAAAATTGAGCCCAAGTTAGTTAACCTAGCAGTGAAGGAGCCTGGTGCTTCAGCCAAAGGTATGCTCTTCGGAGAATGTTTTGTTAAGGACTTAGGCTCCTTTGTTCGTACCTTTACCGCGCTCAATAAGGCGCAGTCTAACCTGAAGAGGGTTTTCGGCCCTAAGGTTTTCCATGGGACCGGGAGGTATAGGAGCCGTCCGCCCGGCCGTGGAGCTCGAGGTCCCCCGCGGACTCACAGAGGTTCCTTTTCCGCCCCCCGGACCTACCAAGTATATAAGCCAGCGCCCTTTTTTCCCTCACGGGGGAGACCATGGCAGAGTCGGGGAGGTCGTGGACAACCCTCATACAGACGCCCTTACGGTGAGTACACCAAAACGTGTGTTTTGCAGAACGAGTGTGGGGGCAGATTGGCGCTGTTTCTCGATGTGTGGGGTATGATAACCACAGGGTTCTCAGTGCGGTCAGGGGTTTCCGCTTGGATTTATTGTCTCCCCCTGTCCAGACGTTTATCCCACAGGAACTGAAACTGCCAGCAGAGCAGTCCGAATTGATTACCGCAGAGATTGCGGAACTGTCTGCCAAATGGGCTATTCAAGAAATCCCCTACGGACACCCGGGATTTCTAAGCAACTTGTTTCTTGTCGCCAAGAAAGGCGGTGGCGTACGTCCGGTGATAAACCTCAAACACCTCAATTTTTTCCTACGTTACCATCACTTCAAGATGGAGGGCGCTCATTGTCTCCGGGACCTGCTCCGTCAGGGAGACTGGATGGTCAAATTAGACCTCAAAGATGCCTACTTGACTATACCCATGGCAGAAGAGCATTGGGCCTTATTGCACTTTACGTGGCAAGGTCGTCGATGGCGGTTTACATGTCTGCCGTTCGGTCTATCTTCAGCTCCGTGGTGTTTCACGAAAGTGATGAAGCCCGTAGTGGCCTTCCTCAGAGCTCGAGGGGTCCGCATGATTATTTACCTGGACGACATACTGATTATGTCTTCATCCCCCGAGCAACTTCTCAGACACCTAGGATGGACGGTGAATCTCCTGGAGGGACTGGGTTTCCTCGTAAACTGGGAAAAATCCATTGTGACCCCGGTACAAAGGATAGAGTTCCTGGGCTTCGAGGTCGATTCAGTCACCCAGTTTCTGTTCCTCCCGGAGGCAAAACTCCGATCGATGAAAAAGGAGATACGACGGACGCTGCGAGCCACCTCTCTCTCCGTCCGACAACTGGCGAGAGTGATCGGCTTGTTGGCCTCATCGATTCAGGCAATATTTCCGGGCCCACTGCATTATCGTGCCCTACAACGTTTGAAAGGGTCTCATCTTCGCTCAGGGGGCTCGTACGAGAGCGTGTTGACCCTGGACGGGAACTCCAAAGACGAACTAAGGTGGTGGTTGGACCACATGGAGGCCTGGAACGGCCGGGCGATCTTCGGCTCCGTGCCAGACGTGATAATAGAGTCGGATGCAAGCCTGCATGGCTGGGGCGCTCGCTGTGGCGATGTCTCCACCGGTGGAAGATGGTCAGAGATCGAATCGGCTCTGCACATAAATTGCCTGGAACTTCTGGCAGGCTCGTTCGCCATTCGGAGTCTATCTCCGACGCAGGGAAATTGCTGCGTCCTCCTACGTATGGACAATGTGTCCGCGGTCAGGTACATAAACCACCTTGGGGGGACGAAATCGAAGCAGTTGGCGAACTTGGCAAAGGATTTCTGGCAGTATTGCCTACACAACGCTGTATCGGTTATGGCCGAACACATTCCGGGTCTGGACAACGAGTGGGCGGATTGGAACTCACGCTACCTGAAGGATTCAGGAGATTGGCACTTGCTACCCTCGACCTTTCAAAGGCTAGAACGGTTATGGGGTCCACTTCACCTGGATTTGTTCACGTCCAGATTGAACGCCCAACTACCCCAGTACTTCAGTTGGAGACCGGACCCGGCGGCCACTGCGGTGGACGCGTTCTTGCAGACGTGGCCGCTAGGGCGCCACTATGCATTCCCACCGTTCAACCTGATATCCCGGACACTGGCGTACTCGACCGGACAGGATTGCACGATAGTGATGGTAGCTCCGCTCTGGCACTCTCAACCGTGGTTTCCACGCCTTATGGAGATGGCCATAGATTTCCCACGGATAATCGAAATGAGGCCGGATGTGCTTCTGGATCCGGATGGAACATTGCACGAATTGGTGGATCAGAACTTACTCCAACTCACGGCTTGGTTAATCTTGGGAGACCCTGGTGCGTCACGGACGTTTCGCAGACAACTGCTCGACTCTTGGACAATGCCTGGGCACCAGGTACCAGAACGGCTTACAAGACCGCATGGCGCGTGTGGTCGGGCTGGTGCTTGGGAAGATTGCT